TGCAGGTGTCATTTGTAAGACGCACCTTTTGACCCCCGGGGATGGTGCGTCATGGTTGCGTCATGTTCCCCAAAATCGCGACGCACAGTACCGTCATGGCCGCAAAATGTCCGTCACAATACTGACCCATATGTGCGTCATAGTAAGTCACTTTACCACGTTGCGTCATTTGGTGTGTCAATGGGACCGTCACTTTCTCTAAGCAGAAGTGTTTCTCAAATGTGCGTCATTGGCTAGTCATTTTCATGAAATGGTTTGTAATATGTTTGACTCAAATGTGAGTCGATGGAATGTAATGGTGTGTCACTTTCTGTGACGGAAGGTGCGTCATGGTATCAAAATGTACGACTCACATCGGTACAATGACGCACCTTTCCCGGGGGTCAAGAGGTGCGTCTTACAAATGACAAGTGCATTAATTAAGAAGCAATATATGTCATTTTCAGTGGTATCTAAAAAACAAGCTTTGTTAAACATTGTCTTCTCAGGCTTTCTAGCTTGGCAACAAAAGTACAAGTGTAAATTTGCGTTAAAGATCAAGAAAAAGGGTATGTGCATATGTGTTATCAAAAAAAAACTTACTCAGTGTGATATTCTTTTTGCATTTTAGTTAGAATATTAAAGACAATTCAATTATAGTCAGTTTTCTTAAATGTGCTTTGAAAGCTGTAAGAAGAGTAATTTGTGGAACAAATCAGTTTTCCTAATTTTTTTCTCAGAAATTCAGATTTTAGTCGCTGTTGCTGACGTTTTATTTCGACATAAAAACAACACAAACATGTAAATTATATGTTCAGAAACAATTTCATCTGCAAGATGTTTGAATTTGGTGAATCAGCCAAGATTTTTATCGTGATGGATAAATCCTGGATATACACTAACTTGTTTTAATGTAGGAATTCTGAAGCAGGGTTGTGTACTTGTCTTATAGATTTCACCAAAATTCAAGTTATGAAGGAAACATTTTTTTTTTTTGTCTGTTTGCATGGAGCAAGAAGGATGTCAAAGTTTTCATAAAGACGGAGTTGAATGCCCTTCTAGCTCTTAACCCATTGCTTACTGGAACCTGGTGGTCCCTGTGTTAAGTCTATGGGAATTAGATAATTCAGTAGTCAACTGGTTAACAGATTATTTTGTCCCTTTGATGACTTTGACCAACACTGTATGACCATGATCAGTGACTGATGTACGTGGATCAAATAACAGGTGAATTGTTGTTTGATCTACAATCAGTTCGTCTACTACCCAATTTGTCTATTTCCTAATGGTCTACACCCATCCCGTCTACTTTCCACATGGTATAATAATCATTCAGTCATATATTATGACAATCATCAAATGATTATTAGACTTTAATGGGCATAGACACATTGGCAATTAGACCAACTGAATATTAGACCAAATGGGTAGTAGACTTATTGAAGATTAGACCAAATGACTATTAGCCAAAATGGTCATTAGACCAAATGATGAGTAGACGAAATGATTATTAGACCATGTGGAAAGTAATTGTTTGGTGTAGACCATATGGCAATAAACCGTTTGGATAGTAGACAAACCGGTTATAGACCAAAACGGCCATAAACCCAATATTAAACACACCTTGCCACTTTGCTGTGCTTGATGTTTGCCAGTTCACAGGTTTGTACTTATAACATAATTTAAGAATTTGAAGTTGAGTAACGGGTTATGGGTATTTAAATATCTGGTTATGGGAATGATTGCAGTGAACTCTCTCAGGGTGGCCCACAAGGGGTTTAAACATGTAACAGCGACATGTTTGAGTATCAGCAACAGGTCGATATTCATTCTCAACCAAATTTATTTATGAAATATTAGTCATAAAATGCGTTTATGATGGAATGCTTCAAAAACCGGGATCAGATTGCACCAGAGTGCATATAGAAAAATACAGTGTGGAGGCCGGACACAAGGTTTTCGTGCTTCACATGCTGAAAGCTAGGCCATATACTCTTTCCACATTCCAGTTTATTGTTTGAACCTTTGTTTGTGGGCCACCTTGATTCTTTGTTGAGAGTATGGAGTGAGACTTGACTTTGAACGGGCATATCAAGTTGAAGTGGGGTTCTGCTGTGTAAACGGGAAGTTGAAGTGAAATACAACAAGTTGAATGTACATGTAATCTTGTCCATATGTATGTAATGGAAAGATATATCTGTAAAATTATATTTTTAAGGCAGAACTAATGTATCCCAAAGCTGGTTGGCGATCAGGTGTTCTATTAAATGATAACAACTTAGGAAAAATAACTCATGACTATTTAAAAGGAATCTGAATATGAAATATGACAGAGAGAAATGCAAACTGTGTTAAAAAGATTTTTTTTTAAATATCATAATATAAAAGAGAGAAAAGAACAAAGGATGTTGCATTTGGCAGACATGAGTAATGCTACATTTGGCAGACATGAGTAATGCTATTCATATTTTTACTAAATAATAATTCATCTTTATTTCATTAAAATAAAAACAAAAATGTTAAATTGAAAATTCCCAGCTTTTCTGCTAGAAGAAAGAGGTTTTACAATTATCATGTCTGTATTAAATTATTTCAGAACCAGTTGATTTGGTTATAATGTTGTAAACTCTAAAATAATTGGATTATCTCTGATTTTTTAATTACTTTTTCGTGGTGCTCAGGTAATGTAACTCATAAAGTTGCCATTTTGAACTGTTGTTTGAAACTTTGTTGTTTTCTATTTTATTTATGGAATCGCTACCAAGTGCTATTTATTATACTTATACTCTTTTTATATCATTATTTAAATATGTATGTGTGTAATGTGATATGTTTTAGTGAGACTGTCTGTTTGTTATGTACATCTATTGGGGCCAGTAGGGTGTCAACTCATATACTTTAAAACAGAGTTAATGCTAATCTTGAGCTCTGGTATGCATGGGCATCGTATGTCGAGAGGACATGGCTAAAATTCATTCTGGATTGTTTATCCTGCAGTAGATTGATTGTTTGAATCAGTCAGATAAAAACAACCTCACAAAAACTTGATGGAAATCATCTTCAATAAGAACCACAACTCTCATTTGCACAATCCAGAATAAATCATAGCAATTTTCTCTCAAAATAGGATGCCCTTACCAGAGCTCAATATAAGCTTTAATCTGTTAAGGTTTGTTCCTCGTCTGCCATGTGAGACAGTAATAAATCATCTCATGTCATATAGAGTGAAGAAGTGTGACGTCATCAAAAATCTATTTTTAGAATATCTCAATTTTTCCCTCATATTCCGAAAGAACATCAAAAATAATGTCCAAATGGCGAAAACCAATTGAATATGTTAAGTATTGGCTGAGATATGACCATCTGAATGAATATATGTCCTATGGGAACTCAGTGTTATATGCTCTGGCTCCTAACCATTAGGAGCCAGAGCATATAACACTGAGTTCCTATGGGGAGTATATTTATTCAGATGGTCATATCTCAGCCAATACTTAACATATTCAATTGGTTTTCGACATTTGGACATTATTTTTGATGTTCTTTCAGAATACGAAGGAAAAATTGAGAAATTCTAAAAATAGATTTGTATGACGTCACAGCTTCGGTACTCTATAGCAATAGAACAAACTCTCTTCTGGCTCTCAACATGAAGTGTAATTTTTTTCCAAATAATAGCATATACGTAACTACTTCTTGTTTGTAAATATAAATGAATTATTCTTCATGATGTATGAATAATTGTTTACAGATTTGATATTTATGGTGGATCTTGCAAAGCACTGGAATAAACTCACATTTTCTCAGAAGCTTACGTTTCATGATTTATTTTTCTGTGAATACTGTGCGTTCGTAATATTCATAGGATATTGAGACGTCTATAAAACTGAAAGGCAATGGGACATCCCTTTCAGGACATGGTTTTTAATTTTTAGGGCTAGAGTGATCACATATTGATCTTCAAATTGGCAATAGTCATTTTCTTGTAATGTTATATTGCAAGGGTAAAACCTGAAAAATTAATAATTTCTATTGAAAAACAATGATTTCAAACCACTTGATATGTTGCTTAGTTGATTATTAAAGGTTTTGAAGATTTCCCTTTTTTTGTATATATTTTCGTATGCAGTGTGTTCATGCAAAAGAAATGGGCCCAATACGTGCATGAAGGGAAGTATGTGAGATTATACGTTTATCAAAATTGTTGCATGATTTTGTGATTCCTTAAGATACGCTCTGCACACATTCTATAAAAGGATGATCATTTTTGTTTTCTAGGCAAGCAATATATAATATAGTAACCACTAACCAGTGATTTAGTGATAGGAAGCCAAACATGCCATGGAGCGTAATTAAAGGCTAGGACTATAACATGCTTGCAAAATTATTTGGAGCACCCCGACATATGTTCACCTGTATAATGTAAAAATGTTGCTGGGATGAATACCTACAGAGAGAGACTGGGGTGAAGGAGGGGATGGAGAGAGAGGGAGAGGGAGAAAGAAATCGATAGAGAGAGAGAGCGTGAGAGAGAGAAAGGGGTGAGAGAGAGAGAGAAGGGGTGAGACGGAGAAAGATAGGACGAGGGATAGAAAGAGAAAGGGCGGGTGAGAGAAAAGAAAGAAAAAAGGGGGTGAGATCGAGATAGAAAGAGAGAAAGGGGGAGAGGGAGAGAGATAGGGAGGGACTTGGTATTTAATCGTATAGGGTAGACCTATGAATATGAAAGGGTAGATTATGGCATACGAGGGAAATTTGGCAGTGGAGAGTATATGATACATAAAGATATATCTACATTAATACTTATCAATTTCAAGCGTTTCGTAAAAACAAATGATTATGGTAATTAACAACGCAAATTCTGACTCAGTACAAAATGTGATTTCTTTCAACAAAAACAAAAATGTTAGGGAAAAGCGTGGATGGGAAAAAGTAAGCGAACAGGAAACGTCACAATAGAGGTTTGTGAGGGAATTTCTTGTGTTTTGATCATATCCGGAAAGTGCAAGCAAAGGTCACACTAAATTTAGAGCCGTGCTGTCACTGCACCGTACTGTCTCGTAAATCCGGGGGATTTTTAGAGGAATTTTAGTGGAGTCCTGTAACTCTACAAGTTTTTAATATTTCCATTCCAAATTCCTGTCTTAAATAATGATACATTTGTTAGATTTAACGCTCATATTGCAAGCACAGTCGTGTGGACGAGAACAGTAGCGATTTGTTTTCACATCACACTTCTGACTACGGTCATCACACAGCACGTCTACGGGAAAGCGTAGGCGCGACCACCCAGCGTTCTACGTGGTTCGTGCTCCATCGTAGGTTGTACCTCATTAACAGTTACACTTACAACTATAACACGTTGTCATTATTTCGAAGCTGCCTAATAATAAACTGCTGAGTACTGCAGGCCTACATCGTTTTCTCATACGCGTTATTTTCGAAGGAGAGAAGCATCATGTCACTTGAAGATCCATTCTTTGTTGTGAAAGAGTGAGTAAAATCAACGTTTGTGAATATCTTTATCTAGGCCTAGTAGTAGGGGTGTATATCATTATCATCATGATGACTTGTTGTTAATTTTCTAGGCACATGCAGTTAAACAAAAAGGTCAAATGGATCTTGCTGGTAACGGTAATATCTCACGTCATTCTGCATGTTCTAGGCCCTGTCTTAAAGGTAAAGACCAGTTCTGGTCATGCGATTGCATTGTGAAAGAAACGTTGTGGAATCGATCAGAAAAGGTTGATCATCTAGCATCTAGCACCTGCAAGGTTCTGGAATCATCAAAATGATAAGAAATTTGGTCCATTCTTCGTAAATTTACAAGCACTAGGCCTATACACAGAAAGATGTATATGGGACTACCCTATATCTCTCACAGACCATGAGAGAAACAATTTTACCAAATATATGAATTAGTAGGCGGTTTCCCGGCAAATTTTTTATCATCATGTATTAGTCAAAACATATTCTTTCACATGATTGGTTAATGAGAGCTTCCATTTCATTTTTTGAAATTGGGGCGTTTCCAATACTGGTCTTTACCTTTAATAAAGAATTGCATCTCTTTGTAATTAAAGGGCCCTCTTATAATTAACAGTAGACTCTAAAATGTTAACGTATTATACAGAGTTACCATCACGCATTTCAAGGGTCTGAAAACGCTCTCACGCACAATGCGCGCGCTAGATTTAAAAAACGCTATACCTTATACGTGTGTTGTACCCTCGCCTGTGCGGTCGCGCGCAGATTCATGAAAATGTCACGCATTACTGTTCTTTGAACTTGGCGTCTCTGATTACACGCCTAAGCTCAATGTCAATGACCATATTGGAAATACTACTAAAAATTTGGTGCTTGTTCAGAAACCTATCCAAAATTCGACCTGTAACTCCGGCGTGGAGATACCCTACTAAAACATACCCAAAATGAAGTAAATATTCATTAAATGTCCAAATAAAAATCATGAGTTAAAAGTCGTTATGTTTACCTGTTTCGTGTCAATTTTCTTGTTATTTTTTGGAGTATTTTTCGGAAAAACATTGATATTAGTAAACACTTTTTCACAGGTTTCATGGCAAACCGCTGCACAATACAAGTGCATACCGCTGGTGGGTTGCATGCGGGCGCGCGCCTGTGTGAAGTGATCTACCGTAATGAGGATCTGAGACAAATTGTTTGAGCTACATTTTGACCCTGTTTGAGGATTTATTTGATGAGCTTTATATGATTAGGGACCCGATCTGTTGTCTGTTGAAGATCGAGCCTTCTTTAGACTACATGTACAGTCAGTAACTGGGCATCATCATACTAGGTAATTCAGATGATTCAGGTTATTTACATTATTAAGTTTGATGTCATAATCATACAATAAATCTACCCCGCCTGCCAACCAATACCAACCAAACCAGTCGTCCATCTCACAGTTCTATCAATATAAATAATATTACATGTTCATGGCTATCCCTCTCTTCTTTGCGCAATAGGGAAGTGGAGAAGGCTGTGAACACATCAGAGGGACTCTACCAGAGATGGACTCAGCTCCTAGAAGACACAAACAGTGTGAGCAAGGAGGAGTATGACTGGACCATGAACGAACTCAGGAATAGTCTTAGGAGTATTGAATGGGATGTGGAAGATCTAGAGGAAACCATTAATATCCTTTTTAAAATTAAATCTTTTATCTTAGAGTCAGGTTGTATTCCAAAATTGAAAATTAAATTGATTTTTGTATGTACTATTATTGATGTTTAAACTCGATATAGGAATTCTGGAAGGCTATTTTGGTTTGTCACTAGATTATAGAAAAGCATTGAAATTAGGTAGTTTTGTTTCTATCATGATATTCATTCAGAAATACCATCAACTGATAAAAACATGTTTCCTTTTGTAGCTAGTCATCACTCATCAGACTGTTTTAGAAACAGCTGCTCAAAATCTTTGGATGAAGTTAACTTTGAACCAAACGGCTATCTTGAATCCATCAGAGACTCTTCCTTGTTCATTGAGCCTCAAATTTTTATTCAATTGTGTACATGTGAGGGTATCTCAGGCTTACTATTTCATAGGATGAATCCAGTTATGATTCATTTGTCATTAATTGACTTTGATACTGATCTTGATTAATCAAGATAATTCAGCAAGTCAAATCCCTTTTTTCCTGTCTCTTTCCACTTCCTTTGGTATATCTACCATTACAATCTTTCATTTTTGCCATGCATGAGAGAGAAATGTGCTGTATTTTTATCTTCTTTCTTACTCAAAGCAAACAACACTGGAATATAGATGTATAATTCTAATCTGTACCTTATGTTACCCTAAATGTATGTCATTGAACACAAAACACTAATACCTCTGCATGTTAAGAACCCACTGCACTATTCGTATAAGAGTAGGGGGAAACCCCGGTGTAGTGGTCCACCTGCTCACCCCCATTCGGTAATACCGGGATGAGAGACCCTAGAGTTACAGTGATTCAGTTCGCTTTTCCCAGGCACAGGTGACGCCAAATACTTAATAATAATTATAATAATATAACCATGATCATGCTTTATAATGTAGTTCCCACTTGCCAAGTAGCTTGTCAGGCAGGAAATGCGACAGAAGAGGCCAACTAATTCAGTTTTATCACTAAATGTTCGATAGCAAACTTGCTTTCTTTAACCGTTACTTCACGCATTGTTGAAGCCAATCCAAGAAAGTTCAGGATAGAGCCCAGTGATTTGGACACGAGGAGACTCTTTGTCACAAGGACCAAAGATAGAGTCCGAGAGATGAAAGAGCATATGAGTAGTCCAGGGACCAAGACGAGAGAAGACAAGAAATCAAGACAGGTATGTTCCAATGTATCTTCTTTTAAAGCCCCAGTGCACTACTTATACATGTAGCTACGTACTTGCGCCCTCTATATAACAAACAATGCATAATCGGTGACCATTGGTCCCCCATGATCCTCCTTTTCTTATGTTGATTGAGAGCTGGTTTGATGAGATAACCACATGTCCAGTGACCTTGTAGGGTGGTCTAATCCCTTCTGTACACTAGTACAGATGGGCTTTAAATCCAGGGGAGTATTTCACAAAGACTAAGATCGACCTTAAGTTGGACTTAACTATGGCAGGCCGTTCATGCTCCTGTTTTCTCTCACTATTCACTGGCATTTGGTCTCTCAAGGGACGTACAAATCAAGGTCACAAATCTACAGAATTTACATTATTGAAGGAAAAAATATTATCTAAAGATCATAGTGGTGAGAACAAACAGTGGCATGAATGGCCTGCCATATTTGATTCCAATTTAAAGTCGATCTTAGTCTTTGTGAAACACCCCCCAGGGGTGTTATTATGAAAATGATGTTATCTCTAATGTTTAATAGTAAAACATTGTTTATTGTCATAGCAAATCCACAGTAGCACAAGTCATTGGTTAATGTCAGCGCAAAGTTGGTGGCGTTTGCATAAAGTTAAAAGAGATCTCTGAGCAAGCACCAATGCCAAATGTTAGTTATGCGCATTTTGAGTTTGTTATGACAAGTAACATCATTTTGAATAAAATATATATATAAATAATCGTTTTTAAGAATACAACCTTACATGTGTGTAGATATTTTCACAAAATGTAACCACAATGATTTATACTGCAAGAACCTTTAGTGACTCACAAAAATCATTTTTTTTTTTTTTTTAGGATGTGATTCACGTTTAATTTATGGCTTAAAACTTTCACAAATTGTTAATGACAGCGATTTCCCCAGCAATAATCTTTAAGCACATTCCTCAGTCTGACTTGGGTTCTGTGTGTGCAGTTTTATGTAATACTGTTTATTTTCGTCATACTCCTTATCCGTTAGGCCATAGAACTTGAGGTGAAATTTGTTTAGGGATTGATTTTATACATTCTAGCTTAACAATGTTAAATCTGAGATGCATGGCCCTACGTGTTATCAGTGTCTGTGATATGGTGTAATTTTGAATCTTTAAAAAAAATGCACTTCAAAATGATCGTGAAGTGCCTCAAAAAAGTAGAATTCTAGTGTTATAAAAATCATTAGGAAAACGAAAATTGTAATTGAAATTTTGATTTCCAATCATAAATATCTTAATAATCAGACAGGCGATCGGCTTGTTAAAGTCATGGGATTCCTGACTTTAACTCTCGGTCTCTGCTGTCATTGAAATATGTGTATTCAACTTTGCATGTGACTGGTTCCTATCTTTCCCAACAGTCTCTGTTACCCAACGGCCCAGGACGACCAAAGCACAAGTACAGTCGGCTAGAGCAGGAGGCTGAAGATGAGAACCAACGCTTCATCAGAGATAGCAACCAGCAACAACAGGTATACCTTACACAATCTCTACTTTTGCATTGAAAGACAACATTTTAAAAAAATTATTAAAAAAAAAAAAACTTCTTGCATAGGGCATTTCACTTAAGAGTGGCTCTGCTATTGTTGTCTCTGAATATACATATCTGCAGAGTGAGCATCAGTTTTAACTGACATGCATGTATTGTGTTTAATTTGTAGATGTGAATTTAAAATAGCAAGAAAATGATCACAAATCCATTACTGATTCATCTATATACATTATAACTGCTTCACCAATTTTGGTAGAGGTATCGTGGGCTAGTGGATACATCGTCCGACTGTGGATCACATGGTTAGCAGTTCGAGTCCCGGCACTAATGTCCGTTGGCAAGACATTAATCTGCATTTGCTTCTCTCTACCCAGGTGATGTAAATGGGAAGGGGATATCATGTAGAAAGAAATTTCTTGAATACCAGAGTTCTTTAGCAGGGCTCATATAGTGTGCTGCTTATCAACGTTAGTCATATGCGCTATATAAATGTTAGTATGCATTATCATTTATAACTTCTTTTTTTTTAGAAGATTGTAGAGGTGTTGTGGTCGAGTGGATACGTTGCCGGACTGTCGATCACAAGGTCAGCGGTTCGAGTCCCGTCACCGCACTAATGTCCTTTGGCAAGACATTGATCTACATTTGCCACACTCAACCCAAGTGAAGTAAATGGGTACCTGGTAGGAATTTATTCCTTGAAATGCTAGAGCGCCGTATTGCAGCCGTGCTAAAGCCAAGGTAATAATCAGGAGCGCCATGAGGGTCAAATCTGACTGACATGAGCGCTATACAAGAACCCATTATTATTATTTTTATTATTATTAACCATATTTCTTGTTTCTAAATTTTGCAGCTAATAATGGAATCACAAGATGATCAAATAGACAGAGTAGCAGACAGTGTGGGTGTGCTGAAGAACATGAGTCACTCGATAGGGAACGAGCTTGATGAACAAGCAGTGTAAGTTTGCAAGACTTATTATTCCTATAGTGTACATTATGTTACATTTGTGAATATTCTGTTATGTGTTATAGGTATGACCCGATCTATACTTATCTTCGTACAGGATGATACAAATGATATATGTAGAGCAGAGTTTTTTAAACAAAGGCATCGCTAGGTGTTCCACAAGAGAAAGTCAATTATATTAGAAGTAACTTCATGAAAAAAGTATCAGAAACAGCAAGATGCCCAAACATGCCCAAAGTCGCGACCGCAGCAATCGCGTGCGTGCAACATACGCGAAACCAAAGCGTGAGGAGAACTTTGGTCTGTTTCGTGAACGCTAGCGCGCACTGACCATGTAGAAATTAAGTCGATGACTACCGTTAATCAAGGAGAACTTTGGTCTGTTTTGCAAACACTAGCGCGCACTGATCATGTAGAGATTAAATGGCTGACTACCGTTTATCAAGTCCATTCTTTTATGTGCAGTTGACCAAAAGAAGACTTAGATGGCGTAAACCAGTATTTGCCAAGCTACACTCCCTTTATCGTAAGATGATATACAAAGTGAAACAAGCAAACAAATTTTTACCAAAGGAATGTCACGTTTATCACTTTAAAATATTGAGGTCATCCCGAGCGAGGCAGTAGACATGAGCAATCATGATAATGTACAATAATAAGTAAGCCGTAGCCTAGACACGATATACAATTTCCAACATGCATTAAAGCCCATGCACGCCTGCTCCCACAGAGCCCCAAAGCACGCAAGCACACCTGTGCCACGACCCATGCCTCCCCTGCAGTGTCATTTCGCATAAATTAGTTTACAGTGGTTGTTCCCAGCAACAACCTAGCAACAACCGATTTATGCAAATGACCCCTCTCTCTTTCTCTTTCTAGGATGTTAGATGACTTCTCTACGGAGCTGGAGAACACGGAATCAAGGTTAGACGGCGTCATGAAGAAAATGGCTAAGGTCACAAGAATGTCAAATGGTGAATATCTTCTTTCCGTCATTCTCTTCTTCTGTGCTAGAATAGATGATGCATATCTGTCCTTTAGAGCATGTACCTATTAAAAGCCAAATATAAGTGGGTGGTGTAGCATCTAATTAAAGTCCGATTGTGCATTTTATGATAAAGGCTCCAAATTTATAACACAGGTCTAATTTAACATGTTCTATTAAAGCAAACTAAATGTTGAACCACCTCAAATTCGACCCCTCAGGCATTTTGTGTCCATTTTACATTTTAGGGTACTCTTTTTCCTGTTTGCCTCGTCCAAAGTTTATAATGTTAGCAGAAATAAGGTAAAGATGTACATTGAAATCATATTTTTAATTACCAGGCCTAAAAAATTCTTCAAAGAAGTTTTAGGTACATGTACATGAACCTGCTATTTTCAAATTTATAAAGGTATGATAGTGATAGTGTGTATCAGCATAGGGAGAGGAACTGGTTATTTTGGGGTAAGTAGGTCAAAGGTCAAAGCTGGTAGAGGTCAATGCTATTAACTTCTGTGATTTTAGCCTCGTTATACTGAAGTAGAATGTAGGCAAAGATGCTTTTCTTGTTATTCCATCATTTTATTTGGCTTATTTCTTTCGATAGACAAGCGGCAATGGATGGCAATAGCAGTGCTTCTGGTGGTCATGCTCATCGTCATCATCCTGTTCTTCATATGACACTTACGACATGGCCGTCTCCAGGATACCATCTTAACACGCCACACAGAGAAGAGCCACCGAGGTGTGCAAAGTTTCCCCCCTCATCCATGTGAAAGACTCCTGAAAGGAAATGACTCTTTGAGGAAAACAATCTTGTGTGGATTATACAATGGACCCCTCTGTCAAGGAATCTCTGTAGGGGTAATAACTGATGTACCTGTATGCTGTAGGAACCAACTACATTATGCAAACGCTGCTGCTCGTGTGGTGGATGAGCTTATTATATTGGACACAAGGCTACCTGCATGCAGACAGCATCAAACTGATTAAGGATTAGAAGATAGTACTACGTATGACGAATATGCTTTGATGTATTAGGTACTAGTGTTGCACTGAATTAGTTTTTTATTTTTCACAGTTGCAGCTCGAAATGTTTGCCTGTATGTGCATGTACAATGCTTCAATGATCAGAGGTACAAGGCTTTAACAGGGAGTAATTTCATGCATTTTATTACATGGAAACTAGATCTGATATTGCACAACCTGCTTGAGGATTCATCAGGTATACAGTCAGACCTGTCTTAGTGGCCACCTCTCTATAAATGGCACCTGTCGAAAGTGGCAAAGCATTCCGCCTCCCTCGAGAATGAAATGTGTGTCATAGGACCTGTCTAGAAAGACCAGCTGATGTACCTATACACCTCTCTGTAAAGGCCACCTCTCCATAGTGGTGAAGCAGTTCGCCTCCCTCGAGAATGAAATGTGTGTCGTAGAACCTGTCTACAGTGGCCACTCACTCTGTTTCCCTTGGGTGGCCTTAATAGACAGGTTGGACTGTATACACATGCAGAGCTTTGTCTTGTAATGAGGGGAAACGTATCTAGACTCTGCAGGTAATTTTCAGTGTGTTAGATCCGTGCTGTCTTAATGACTATAATAGAATACCATATTTATCCAGCGCATATCAAACACATCTATATGTCCCTTCGGGTTGTAATGGAGAGAAGCAAGAAAGACATAAAGAATAAAATAGAGTGAGATATATGCTAAACATACTTCCTTATTTCATCAGTTGATGTTAGAAATTGTTTCTAAAAGACTTTTTTTTTTAAGATGTGTTTTAAAGTTGTCAACGGTATCACAAATTTTGATATATCCTAGCAATTTATTCTAAAGCTCTGCTGATGCCACCTGTAAAAAGAGTGTGACCCCTAGAACTTTGTGTTTATGTGAGGGATACATCTTGTTAATAATAATAATAATAATAATATTGGATATTTATATGGCTCACATATCGACCCTGCAAGGTGCTCAAAGCGCTCCAATATTACCCCGGCTCTGCTAGGAGGGACTTTTAACTACTTAGGAGCTAATCCTTGGACATATACGTCGCTTTCTTGGACATCGTTTACTCCAGTTTTCCCGTAGAGCATCCCTTGAAAGAATTGCATGTATGTAGTTAGAGGAGCATAGAACTTAAGCTAGAGGAGCATAGAACTTAAGCTAGGAATATTATGAAGTTCATACAAAGTTATGATTGTGTCAGGACCACGTGAATGAATCCCATGATATTTGTAAAATTTATTGTGAGACCTGTCTGTTCTTTTTCAGTATTAACACTACAAACATTGCATCGGATTCCGTCCGCGCAGTTTTATGTTTTTCTTCATTTTCTTCATAAGCCTTAATCCACTGGCCTATAGAATGCCGGGTAAAAAATTTAATGTTGAATTCATACTTTCTAAATGCTCCTAAATTAATTTTGAAGGAGATTGGTACACTTTTTTTTTAAAAAGAAAAAGAAAGCAGATATCTGCTTGAGTAACCTGAAGTCATCACTTGAACTTCAGTATTTTAATTTAACATATTTCTAAGCGTTTTAACTTCATACATGTTCGTAATTTTTTCTAATAATTATTATTTGGCAGCTATTTACCCTATGAAGCGCAAGTTTCACAAATAATAGAGTTCAATATTCAAAATACTGTTTTTAATTTACATGGATCCCGTACAAGATTTTAAACTTACTTTTATGTATGATTTATAATGCACCGTTTTATTTAATTCCGATCCCCCTTTTTCAAGATGATTCTGGGCCCCATCTTTAAAAAGTTGTGATCGATCCAAATCAATGGCAAGTTTTTAATCAATCGCAATATTTACAGTCTCCTATCTCTTATGTACAGTCGCGATTGACATCAATCGCAAATCAGTTGCAACTAATCACGACTCTTTATAAAACAGGGCCCTGATGATATCAAGTTCACTTCATGTGCCAAAAATCTGATATTATTATTAAGTTACTCAGGTTTCCAGCATTTGATTCATCAAATAGTTTTATGACTCCTGCAGAAAAGAGGTTTGATTATTTAGGCACATGTGAATACGGTATTAATGGAAAAGAAATTGTATGACTTGCCAATTTGTATTATCATTTTATTATTACTCCATGACAAACTTGATCGTTCTGTTTTATTTTCAGATCCCTAGCTAAGCTTCGTTTTAAAAATATGGTAAAAATTATTTTGTTTGTTTTTAATGCAAGTATACACGCATCCGAACATGTACAAGTTCTCAACATGTTATATGAAGGAACACATACATGCTTTCTGTTAGACATATAAAACATGTGCATGGCATCTCATTCTAATCAATGTTCCCAGATGCCAACTTATTTGTGCTGCCCTCTAGTGGTGAATCTAGGGAAGGTTGTGTGCTTTTATAATGTTCATCATATACATGGTGTACATGTATATTCAATTGACATCCACAATTATATAGATTGTATGTATGAGTCATTAGGCCTTTACTTCATGTGGTGGCCCACAAGGGTGTTCTACATGTAACAGCGACAGGTTTTACCGGTAATTCTGATCGTCCAGTTTTGAAAATCATGAACAGGTTGTTAAGTATCGAAATAGTACAGTATATGAAAAAACACAAGACTTAAAACAAAGGAGTGGCATGACTTGTCTAGTTGAGGTCCAATCTACAAGTGTTTATTCCCAGACCATCAAAGTACTCTATCTGTTTAATGCATACAAGTTACCCATACATGATGATGATGAGTCATAGTGCTGGAATGTCCACTACAGTTTTACCATGTAGTAGGTCCACGGTTTAACCATGAGTCGTAGTGCTGAAATGCAGTAAGAGGGTCGAAGGAATTACTAGATTCAACCCGATAGTGTATTACAGTACATGTTCAATATATACAGACTAGCATTCCAGTACACTACACACGTTAATATTTATTCTCAACCAAAATTATCTATGAAATATAAGTCTCGTAAGGTGTTTGAAAAATGCTTCAAATTATGGCTCAGATATCACCAGAGTACATCTCTATACATTGAAACCCTAGAGCCCAGTCACAAGGAGCTTTGCATGTATCCGTTCATACTTCTTCCTCGTTCCAGTTTCACATGTTTGAAATGTTTATGGACCACTGTGATCAAGAGCTAAGAAACTTGACATATCAAGTATGTTTTTTAATATAATAACTATTCATTTTAATGTGTGATATTCTGTTCCTGCACGTTTATTTCTCTATTTGTGGCTTAGGCCTTGGCGTTCATACAAAAAGTGTTGAACGTTTTTAATGTAACTCTGGTCAAGGACATAGGTACGTAAAAGTTCTATTTAAGAACACTTTTTTGTATTGTAAACATAAAAATGAAAAATGTATTAATGTCAGAAATGTCATAAACATAAATGTATTTATAAATGTAACTAGTTAATACAATTGCAGTTTATAAACTTATATTTCAAGATTGTAGACATCACATGCATGTCATTTTCGGTATATCCATACATGCCAACTGTTCAGATTAAAGAGGAACATTCCTCTTTTTGGGAGAAGATAATTATAATTTTAATGCAGGTGTTCCTCTTCCTGTACAAATTTGTCTGTAGTATTGAATAGGAGAGTTAGGATTGTTCCTCTTTTTTTTGAAAATAGCATAATTTGTACAGATTTCTGATTTTCAAATGTTGGCATGTATGTATATCATCAAAGGGAACCAAAACCTTCATACTTAAGTTACTTAGGATAAAAGTGACAAGATTTTTTTTTTCTTTTTTTTTTCTTTAATGAATACTGTACAAGAAGAAGTGAAAGTTTCAGGTACAGTGATGGTCTGGGTTCTTTTGAGAGCTACATTCTAAGATGATTAATGTTTTAATTTGATAATTAATGGGAAATGAAATATATTTACCAACAACTGATTATAACAGCTAAACAACTATTTGAAAAAATCAACCAAATGCAATTTCAATAGCCTTGTAAAGTATGTCAACTATTAAAATGTGTGAATATGACAAGTGACGTATTAAATAATCCTTACATTATTTCTTTTGGACATACAATAGTGTATTAACATTGCCCTTGTTTATGGATAATTGTTACTTACAACCTGAGCCTAATTGGAATTAAATTTAATTGAATTATTTATAATATCTATTGCAAAATTGTGTTGTTCACTGGAATTCAGAGCCGTTACTCATTAGGTATTTGAATTCTGTGCAAAAGCTTTATTATCTACCAATTGAATAAAGCCAATAACTAAAACTGTGCATACATGTGTATATTAATACATCTATATATCTATATATCTATTCAATGAGCCATTTCCATTTCTTCGATTTAAAAGGCATTACATTTCTAAAGTAAACCCAAATTCGTAACAAATTTACTGTACCGTTATAGCTACAAGTGTCATGCAATAGGCGTTAAATAAATACATGTATATTGTGATTGTCATATCTGTAAAGCCATACATACTGAACATGTATAGCCTACAGGAAGGCGAGTGATTGTGCTATTCTCTATGATATATGACAGCTTATGTATGTTATAGCCATCAAAATGTTGTTACTAACTGATCCAAGAGAACCTATTATAATCGTTTCTCCTGCCATTGATACAAATATTTATACCTGTAGGGACACTTTATTTTATGAAACCATATTAGAATAATTATATCGAGGGGTCAGTGTCACAAAGACGTAACTCCACTTTGGCCATTTCGAGAAAAAGTGGTTTAATATGTCACTGAGCACTTGGGCTTCACTAGCCATTGACTTCAATAGGGTGTTGGTAGAGTTAAGTCTTTGTGTTTCCTGTAAAGCCCACATTTTTCTGAACATTTTGATATCAAATACTAATTTTGGCAAAATATGTAGTTAGGTCTTTGTGTCACTGAACCCTTGATATGCATACCTTGAATGTGTACTCATGACTAGTCATGTACAGATAAATAGATAATGCCAAGTATTTTGCGTGTACTGTGTGAGTGTAATTATGAGTGTATACATGTATGTATGAATGGACGATTGTACAAAATACCTCACAATGAGGTATGTTCAATACGTGTGATATCTGTTGCTTGTAACTGCCAAATGAAAGCATTCGTAACAGAGATGTAAACTACCGCTCCAAATAAATGCAATGCATTAATTTGAGTTATATACATGTATAATATTTCATTGTCCATATTTATTTTGTGGTTGTTGTAAAATGATGGATTTTTGTCAGAACAAAATGGAAGAAAGGAATATGGGAGATGTTTTCTATAATGAATATTAAGAGTCGTGCGCACAAGTGAAAAAATGAAGAGGAAGTTTGAAAGCAAATTATGGAATTTTGTAATGCATACTTGGGTCACATTACACGTAAAGAAGGCCTAGGGAATCTTGCTTTGACAGGGAAAATTGTGGGAAGAAGGAGTAGGGGAAGAAGGAGGATACTTTGGATGGACAGTCTGCAGAAATTGTTGGAAGAGAGGGGAGTGAAAGAACTGGGAGTGGCACTAATACAGAAGTCTAAGAACCGAGGGTTGTGGAACAGCATGATCGCCAAAGTCAATCGAGAGAGATACTTCGACCGTGATTTTCTATCAGGTTTTCAGCGATTGTTAATCATCAGAAGTCCTAAAATAAACTATGATCGACTATTGACTCTCTTGGACCATAAACTAACCCATAAATATGTGCATACGGTTCCGGGATCATGCCATGGTATTTTGAGGAGGAAAGATTAGTTGAACAAAACCATAGAGGTACAAGTCTAAAATATACAAATACAAATTACCGTTATTGTGTCGGGCTTATAGGCCGCTTACCCGGATTTCCTTACATCTTTCTATGCTCATTACTCAGCCACTATACATTTTCTACCAAAATCGTTTGGCACATGACATTTATGTGTAAATCTTTTTATTTTATTTTTTTTTAATTTATGTGTTTATTAAGAAATCAAATCTTAACATATACAAACTTTCCAAAAAAATACAAATGCTGTGTTACAAAAGAAATTAATGACAAATTAAGATAAATCTTGAACATTCATTGTAAGTTTCGTTGGATTCTGTGAGAATTTATTTTCTATATTATTTCCCAGTCCGACACAACGTCACAGTAACATTACCGATTTAGCCAATTTCAAGTACTTCCCATGCGTACATAGTGATTACGTATTTTCAGAAATTCAGAACTTTCTTAATTTTTGTCAGATTTCGGTCAAACTTTTACTAGTCTGATTTTCTGCTTTATTTTAGAGTAGTTTGCTTCTAAGGTTATATGCTCCTTTAATTGATGTAACTACGTACCTCTTCCGGGTTTATGTTTATTCGTGAATCCGGTAAGATTAGTTCAAGTATATAGTTTTCCGTTTCACAGGATTCTGAAATATATACCAGTTGTTGTTGTTTGGTATTATCGGCGTTTCATTCTTTTTTAGAATATTTACGCCTTTCACTTTATTTCTTTCTTTTTTTCTTCTATATT